GTACCAAGGTTATCAAACTTTCTCAAAGTATTTTCGTTCTTTCAATCCCGATCCCTTAGTCTTTTTTTCTGGTATGATTATCTTTGTATTCGAAACGAACGACGAAAGCTAACGGACACGAAATATTAGAAGAAAAATTTCTCATCTTTTTTTTGCTGCTTCTGGTATTACTTTTGTTTTGTGTGGTGTATGTGTGTGTTGTTTGGTTCTCATAGAGAACATCCATATATATCTTATGTACTTTATTATTGCGTCGTAATATGATTTCACAAAGTTTGAAACTTGACCCAAAACACATTCATTTTATTTCATTCTTTTAATGTCGCATACATTTACAAGTGTGTACAACGGCAACAATCAATGTAGAATGACAGCCCAATATCTTTAGATCATCAAGTCAGTAAATACTAAGAAATAGTTATTCCGAGGATACAGTATCTGTGTGTGTGTGTGTGTGTTAGAAAAAAAAGATCAAATCTTTCATTTATTTTCCGCTATTTGTCGCGTTGTTTTGTGTGTGTGTGTGTGTGTGTGTACTACTTTATGTGGAAACTAAATTTCGGTCTTTTTATTTTCGTTGAAATTCTAATTCAACAAAAACAAAATGTTTAGCTCATATGTATTTTTGTGCCTCAGATAATGATGAAGATGATAAATCCATGTCCGAAAATAGCATAAGATTTTTTCTTCATACAATTCTTTATTCTCATTAGAACTCACACATATACAAACATTCGTTATTCTTGATGTTTGTTTATGTGTGTGTGTGTGTGTAACACACATGTCCGATTGGCGTCATCCAATGGCGCCCAACATGAAGAAAGGAGAGATGAGAGAAAAATTGGCCGTATAACCAATCCATTTGGAGTCTTGTCTTTGGTTATTTCAGTTAGTCGGTTGGTTTAAAGGTTGATGTTTATTTGTATGGATGATTTTTTTTCTGTTATACTGCGTATATTTTCAGCGATGATCAATATTTACCAAGAGAGTATTAATGGTTGGCTTTTTTCTTTCTTTTTATTCCACTAATTTTAGCCTTCATTCTTTTCTTGCCTTATGGTTTTTCTTTTCGAAAGGAATGGCTTATTGGCTAGAATGTAAAAATCGTCTTAGCTCAAGCAATGAGAAAAATGATTGCATGCATACACACATATACACATTATGAAGAGAGAATAAACGAATAAGGACACCAAGAATTTGGCTCGTCACCATCGTCATCATTTATTTAACCGACGGCAAACAACAACTGATGTGTGTGTGTGTGCATTAGGATATTTAAGTATGTTTATTGGGCCAATTGGGAAGTGGCCAACTGGGCACCAAAGAAAAAAACTGTACATTCAAACATATACACAATACCATTGATGTATGATAGTTATTTTGAGCTTTGCAAAGAACCGAATCGAATAAGCGAGCCATCAAACACTACAAAAAAAAGAGAGAGTGAGAAAGAGATGAAAATCAAATGCGAAAAAAGAATCCATTATGAATAGAGATAATTTAAATTTTTTTTCCTTTTTACATATCATACATCCATATTGGTTTGATTTCGTTTTAGCTTGTGGTTGTTGCCTTCAATCTGATCGGCATCATTGTAAATTGAATGGAATAGGGGGAAAAAGAAAAAAGAGAATGAATGTGTGTACTGTTTATATGTGAAATGAGGGAAAAAATTGGTTATTTTGGAATGGACTTATGCTCAACACATACAAACATTCTTTTTCTTGGTTAGATGGATGGATGAATGAATAATGGAATGTGTGTGTTGTTTGTTTGTTTGTTTGAATGATGCTTGCCAATTGTTTTGGTTGTTGTTATTATTGTCGTGGTTTGGCCTTTTTGTATCTCAATGAAAACAAAAAGGGGCGGCTATTTTTAGGTAATCACTATCCATATGATTCTTTCACATGATGCTGATGTTTGATGTTGGTACAACAATTTTAAAGAATTCAAACTGTTGCTTCGTTCAAGAATAACAGCATTCTCAAGTCACACACACATACATGTTCTTATTGATGCTTCTAGTAAATCTAAGCTGGATGAAGCTCACCATTGGCTAGTTGTAGAATACGAATGATGGAATTTCAATTTCAAAAGAAGTTGGCAAATGGATAAGTTCCGGAGGTCATTGAACGTCATTTAATACATCAAATGTCTTGTGAGTCTCTCGAGTGTCCATTTTTTTTTTTTTGTCCACACATGAGGAAATGGGATTCTTTTTTGTAGAATCTTGGCAACTTGTATATTATGTAGATATATTTTTGGATATTGCGGCAATTCTCTGTTCTGTTCACATTACTTGTTGTATGATGTTAAATTGATGATTGAGGAAATTTTTTTTTTCCCATTCAAATTATTATTGTCATTTCTTGATTGATAGATATCCATCTTTAGATTTTATTCAATTTTTTTTTCTTATTTATTTTAGTGTAAAGTTCTCTCATTGAGGTTGGTGACCGATCATTTATTTTATGCAATGATTGGATTGCCACTGTTGTGATTATTGTGCGTGTCTAGTAGCCTTTTTTTTATCTCAATAACCAGATACAAATTATTTCGCCTCTAATCAGTTTCCGTGTGCATATGAAAATAGCCCAATGACAAATTTGTGAATAATTTAATTGAATTGATAATTATGGCCAATTTTTTTTCTGCCAGTTAAGGCCATTTTTTTCTCTATCAACACTTATGCACTTAATGGTTATATCCTTTCCGGCCAGTTTTATTAACAATCAAAAAAAAAAAAAAATTAAACAAAAAACAATTGATCAAAATCATGTCGATATTGTTGAAATTAGGTTAACCCAATGATAATTTTATTATATAATAATGATGTGATATATGACAGTTGTATATTTAGGTTTTCTTCTGTTGTTACCGGATTCAAAAACACAACTGGCCATTCGTGATAACAGCGACCAAAAAACATTGCACTGTAATGTATTTGAATTCAGGCCAGCTGGTCAATCAACACAAAAAAAATTATTCGCTTGTGTATTTTTTTTTTTTTTTTTTTTTTTTTGATTGAATTCTTTGTTTCTTTTTCTTGTTTTATTTCTACTGCTGGTTCTGTTGCTTTCCCATTTTTTTTTTGTTTTTCCCTCAAATGATATTCGACCATCATTTGTAAATCGTTTGTCGTCGGTTTTTCTGACAATGTGACAAATCACATACATGCCATACACTGGTTTATTTTTTTTATATTCATTCTATTTGGATTGTATCATACGTATTATGTATGTTTTGTATATATTCTATACATACAACAGAGAGAAAAAAAATATCGACAAAAATCGAATAAGATGAAGAAGAAGATCGATCGATTTTGATTATATGATTGTCGCATTTAGACCATTGGTCAATTGGTACACCAACACGCACCATTGCCATTGTATCACCAATGCCAATCAGTGTGTGCACACGCGTTTTCTATATATTGATGAAGAGGGTGAAAAAAAATGATGAATGATCCTGTATGTGTCCAATGTCCAGTGCTAAATATTGAACGAATATTTCGTTTTTTTCCAAGCTAAACAATCATTTATTAATATTAGTATTGCTTGTTTGACCAATATTGAGAAAGAGAGAAAAGTGGATAATAAAAAGTTCCAGAAAACCAAAGAACAATACGGCAGACCATTTCGAATGACATTCGTGAATGAATTACAATTGATTTTTTTCTTTTCCATCATGATGATGAGGATGATTATGATTATGATGATGATATTTTTCTGTATGGAGGAGTAGAGGGGGACAAGAGAGAGAGAGAGAGAGAGAGAGAAAAATGAAATTAATTGTTCCATATGTATGGATCCTCATTCATTGTTGATTTGATTGGATAATATGAGTGATTACTTTATTGTTGAAAATGGTTCACCCTCCTCACATCTAAATGATTCATATTTTGCTGGGTATATCGTGTGTTTGTGTAATCGTTATACGCCAAGAAAACGAAAGCCGCAACGAATCGAACCAACCACACACACACACACTCATATATTGGTCATCCGGTTGACCTAAATTTCTTTCGATTCACACACACACACACATAACATTTGTGAATGACTGACCAATTTGTTGCTCAATTTTTTTTGTAGCTTCATTTTCATTTGTATATTTTCGTACGACCACTACGATTCCTAATTTTTTTTAGATTTTCTGGTTTATGTATGTGTGTGTATGTTCTCTTCAAATTAACACGCGTCGTTTTTTTTGTTGCATGTATGATCTTCAAATATATAAAAATGACTTTTCATTTTAATCTTTGTGATCATATTCGGCATGGTCATCATCACGATGATCATCATCATCAACAACAACAACAGTGTTGTAGTTCTTTAGTCTGACCACATGTCTAGACCTCTTGACTCGCCAAACCATATGTTTATATGTGTGTGTGTGATAGTGAAATATTTCAAGACTATTCATTGACCAGATGATAATGGTGTATACATCATCATTAAAATCCATTTGAGTTCGTTGTAGAGTAGTTGATTATGGACAATGAAAAGATAACGTTCACCACGACAACAGCATCAAAGTTTTGTTCTTATTTTTTTTCGTATATTTTGCAGATGTTTGTCGAATATTTATAAACGTCATTTCCATTTTTTTCTTTTCTTTCTCACTCTTGTCTTGTCACTAATCATAATCAATTTATCCAAAAAAAAAAAAAAACAACAATAAAAACTAAATGAATGTATTCATTTATTCATTTCAAATTTAAGAAATGAATGAATTATGTTTGGAATTGTTTCCTTTTTTTCTTTCTTTCTCTCTTTTCACTTTTCACATAAATTCTATTTTTGCTAATCTTTTTCTCATTCATCAAATATCTATCAAATACAATTTTAGTATGATAAGTTTTTGTTTTAGGAACCAAATTCTTTTTCCCACACTTTCACTTTACTACCCCTCACTGCACCACCCCCTTCATAAAAGCATATGAATGTAGAATTTTATTTTTTTTTAATTAATTTATGGTCTTTATCATACATTAGCTTCAGCTTGTTACGAGGAAAACGAACCCGACCCATTCAGCCAATTTTCAGCCAAAGTGCCCAAGCTAAGTTCCCAGACGCCCAATCATACCCAATCACAGATAATAATCAACACTACCACAAATGGTATCAACACCAATTCAAAATGTTTTCCCAACAATCATACTATTGATAATATTGGTGATGGTTCTACTTCTCATTCTTCTCATTTTCCCTTATCTTCTAATAATTCCTTCACCTCTTTCACTCAACAACAACAACAACAACATTTTATAACGACGGCTACCAATGCAAGCCAAATGAATAATAATGAGGATAAATTAACTTGTGGTACATGTTCACGTGATTTTTCTTTATCCGATATTTTACAATTTATCGATCATAAAGTGATCAATGGTTGTTGTCCATATACAACACAAAGGTTACAATCATTCATGAATAATAATAATGATGAAATTGATGATGATGATGATGATTGTTGTTCATGTATTGATGATAAAGATCATGATGATGTTGTTGATGATGATGGTGATAATATTGATTCTATTGAATCAACAAATAATACTGCCCAAAATAATTCTACTAAACCAACAACAACAACATCAACATCAACAATGACAGCCATACCGGTGATTATTGATTCGAAAACAAATAAATCAACAACGATTAATAACAACAATGATGATGATGATACTAGTGAGTCAGTGCCTTCATCCATTTTAGCCCACAACAATCTAAACGAGGATGATGATAATAATAATAATAAAAATGGCCACAATGTAATAAATCCTAATCCGGATAAAAATCCAAATATCGTTATGGACATCGTTATAAAAAAGGAGCCAACAACAACAAAAACAGATTCATCATTTTTGATGAATGAATGCCATAATGAAGAAATTATGGAAACAACTACGAATGATGATGATGATGATGATGTCGATGATGTTGGTGTTGATGGTGGACAAACAAAAGTCAATTATAAAAATGAACATCAAGAAAAAGAAGAGGAAGATTTGGATATGAATATAAAACAACAAAAACAAATGAATTATGATAATGAAAAAATGATCCAAAATGGACAAAATGCTGATTTATATAATGATGATACTATTAGTAGTAATCAAATGGATATGACATTGACCACCATCACCAACAATAATGATGATGATAATAATAAAGCGCTAAATAAACGACCGGAAATAATTGAATCATCTGAATCCACTAGTCGACAAAATGATAGTCAAAATATAATAACAACGACATCATCATCATCATCACCAGTAACTTGTTTAGACAATCATAGATCTATGGATACCACCAATAACAAACAATTACAACCTTCAAATGGTTCCAATAATAATAATGGTGATGATGATGACCATAATTAACAAACAAAATAAGCAATATGGACAAGAACAACATCAAAATCGTCCTCGACAACAACAACAACAACGACAACATAGTCATCATAATCATTCATGTCGTCACTTAAGAAAACAATGTAAACATTATCGACTACGTGCCTTATTGAGTCAAACAACATCATCAACGATGAATAAACAACAAAACACAATTTCAGGTGAGAACAAGACATACACACACACACACACACACAAAAACACTTACATACAATATATAATATTAGTAAAGACAATGTGAAAATAATGAATGAATGAATGAATTTTATTAGTGACGAAAAAAGAAAAATTTCATTATGATGTGACATATTGGTCATCACACATTGACCATTTCTAAATAATAATGATTTCGTAATGAAAAAGTGAGAAAAAGTTAGATGATATTTGGTTAAATAATTGAATTTTATTTTTCCCAAAGTATTTTTTTTTTTTTTTTTTTGTAAAGAAGATGGTTTTTTTTCTATATCGAGATTTCATAATGAAATCGATGAATTGTATGAACTGGAAAAAATGAAAATCCCAATATGTTCGTTTGATTAATGTTCATTTGTTGTTGTTGTCTATATTTGTGATGATAGGTTTAGTTTTCTTATTTCTATGAGGATGATGTTCTTTTTTTTTCATCATCATTTCATTCGTCCCTTTGAATGACCACAATCATCAAAACCATATGGACATTATTTTCATTGAAAATCATTTGATGAAACAAACAATTGACATATACGTACACACACACACACACAGGGTCACTACTACTATCATCATTAGAAAAAAAAACACACATACAAAACATCAACCTACTATATATACTCTAGTTTTTCTTTACATTTTAAGGATTTAAAGTAATTTTTCATTTTTTTCCATTTTCATTCTCATTCATATTGTGTGTATTTATTGAGAAGAATACACCTTAATATTGATGATGATGATGATCGTCATCATTATTTTGAACTGGACAATTGAATTGAATTGAATGCGAGTAGAGTGTAGATCTATGTTATAAATATATCAATTTTTTTTTTAAAAGTTAATCCAGCTTTTTTTATTCATTCTAAAATAGAAATTTTTTTTTTTGCCAAGTGTTAGGGCGTTAATTTTTTTCTGGTTGATTTTTTTTTTTTAAATTTTTTTTTTTTTCATTGGCATGCAATATAAGCCTTCTTTTTTTTCTTTCGATGCTCAGTTGTTGATTAGATGTCTTTCAAGATTATTTGATTTCGATAAATGTGTGTGTGTGTGTGTGTGTGTGTGTGAAAAAATAGCCATAGAATAAAAATAAAAATGGCCAGTAAATGAATTGTAAATTGACAGTGAAAATAAATGATGATCTGTCCGGCTTGTGTTTGTGTGTGTGTGTGTGTGTGTGTGTGATGCATTACATAATCACAAAGATATAGCCGTTATTGATGCTCGTGGTCGTATAGTCGTATTTTTTTTCGTTTGGTTTCGAATTGAATTGTGAATTGATTTGAACTAAGCTAGAATAACGATTTGCATTTGTTAAATACCAACAGCAAAAAAAAACCATATATCAATGACTACTCTCAATCTCAAACACACACACACACGCATACAGTGCTCATCATCAAAGACCAAAGAGAAAAACACATCACATCTCTCTGCATGTGTGAAGCTATTTTTTTTACTCAAATGGTCATTTTATATTTCAAACCAAACCTATCGATTTAGTTTTTTTTTGTTTTGTTGTTGTTGCTTTGCTTTGCTTTGAAAACAAGAATTTCAATGAATTTTGTTGGATGATTTTTTTTCCATTCATTCATTCATTCTTTTCATTCAAAAATTCGTTTAATTTGTCCAGATAAATAGATTTTCAGTGTGAAGACCATCCATGTTTATTGATGATGATGGCAACTTACTACAGTAGCCACACACACACACACACACACACACACGCGCGTAAGCATCATCACTATTCATTCTATGTGTGTGGTGATTAGTCAATTAGCATTAACAAAAAAAAATTGAATGAATGAATTTTTTTCCTCCACTTTCATTGGAATATCCAAAATAATTAGGGGAAAACAAAAAAGTTTAATTAGTGTTACACGCAAAAATGATGCACACACTCACACACACACATAAAAACAGTTGGACATCTCGTTTCAAAAAAAAGTGATGCAGATTAATCGACCCAATTTAATCAAACCATGAAATGTTGTTGTTGATGTTGTTTAATTACGTATAACAACAACAACACATACATCAAGCGAATGAATTGAAAATAAAAGAAACAAAAAATTGACAGGCCGTTGTCCGTGTGTTTAACACATGGTCCATATACATATGCATTTCTTTCTATTATTAGATAGATAGATAGATAGATAGATGGATGGATGGATGAATAGGTCTATTCCTATCATTAGATTCAATTGGATTTTGAATTGAATTTTTTTTTCACTGTTTTTTCGAGGTGTTGCAAATTTTTTTCCTGTATTCAAAAATAATCTGCCAGTTTGTGATGATGATGATGATGATGATATGTTCATGAATTTCAAATTGATTCACGATTGATTGATTCAAATGGCCAACCAGTGTTTCTATGGTGACACAAAACACAGTCACATAGATAGATATATTGATATTTATTGTTTATGTAACGCTAATGATCTTTTTCTCCTCTCTCTCTCTCTATCTCTCTCTCATAAAGACACTTTCGATTTCATTTCCATTTGTACTGTTCAATCAAAATCAATTGAAAGAAACTATCCATTCCTTATTGTCTATTCCAAATGCGTAACATATGCCCAGGAAAATTGAAAAAGATGATATTATAACAAATAAAACCGAAATAGAGCTAGCTTAGGTCAATCGATATATGACAATTTGTTTCTCTTAGGTGTGTGTGTGTGTGGAAAATAATCATTTATCATGATACATCTTCACCATCATCAATGATCATTTGTAATCTAGAATAATAGAAATATATTTTTCACATTTATTCAGCTTTGTCTTGATAATAACGATGATGATGATGACCATGTGATAGACTGACTTCAGACCAAAGTGTCCCTTGTGTATCATCATCAACGATGATTCTTGTCTCTCTCTCTCTCTCTCTCTCTCTCTCTCTCTCTCTCTCTGGAACTCAAGAAATGATGACAAGTTTTTTGCTTTTTCCTTCTTTTGATTTCTTTCTTTTCATTCATAACGAATTAATTAATTGATTCATAAATTATTGTATAAAAGATTATTAATCTTCCTAATAGAGTTCAAAGTTCATCGATCTATCGATTTTTTTCATTGTTGTTGATTGTATCCATCAACAATACAATTTTGTTTTCACATAATCTGACGATTGACTGATTCTATTTCGGATATTTTTTTTTGCCATAGTTGTCATCAATTTTTATTTCTTGTTGACAGAGTTTGAACTGTTTTTTTTTTCTTTCACACTGTCCAGAATCGGAATTCAATCACGTTGTATGTGTGTGTTAGTGTGAATCAGTAGCCCGCTGATCTAATCACCTTAATTGTCTGTTAATGCTAGTGCTGTTATTGCTACTGTTGTTCTTTGCTTGCTATGTTTTTTTTTCTATCCATAGATAGGTCGATTGATCGGTCCATCAGGTTTTTTTGTTGTTGATTTCCGAACATGGACCAACCAACTAACTAAACAACTAAACAGCATTTTTGAGGTCCAGCCTTTTTGCGTGCGAATCAACCATTTGATAAATTGAATTCTTTTTTTTATAAATTCTATCAATGATTGACTTACCGGGATAAACTTGGTTTGTTGTCGTTGTTGTTGTTTTTGTTTTCAAAAATTCTATTCGTTTAGTGGCAAGAATTTATTCATTCATTCATCACTGTTAGTAAACCGGAAATTCCACCAAATTCCAAATAGGGAAAAAAACTAAATAAATCTTTCGATTTATATGAAATTGAATTTTCAATTTGGATTTCCTTTCTCTCTCTCTCTCTTTCGTTTCGTTCTTTCCTTGTTCACTGTACATATATATTGGTGATTTATATTAATTATGGATTTTTTCTTTGTTGTTGGTGTGATTGGTCCTGCCAACTAATACAACTACACTTTTACACTATTATTATTACCGTTGGAGATCCTGGTTCTTCATTGTGGCATTTTTTTTTTATTATTTTGGTACACACACGCACCATATTTATAAATATGGTACTAATGAAATGTTTTTGTTTGCACTGATATTTGTAATTAGCTTTTTCGTCCATTTTGTTGATTGACCCCTGGTACTTACTTTCTATCAACAATGATAGAGTATTTGGTTGCTGGCGTGACACCCTACCACGATTTGATATATACAATGGACATTAGATTTTTGTTATAATTTTTTTTTTTTTAGATCTATTTTTGGTCACAATTTTTTCTTCTATTCTTTCTATGTTACAATCTAGTGTGTTCTGTTTGGTTCTTTGGCTTCGTTTATTATATATTTAGATTGAAAATTAAATTTTGGAAAAATCAAAACAAAAAAAATAGCGGGTCAAATGTCCACTAAATACTATTAATGCTGCTTCTGCTGCTGTATGTCGTGTGTGTAGAGAAATTGAATGAATAATGATGTTCAAAAAAAAGGAAAACACATTGAAAACCGTTATTTCAAATTGTCCACTACTATAGTAGTTTGATGTATTCCATATGGTTTATATTTCTATTCATTTCATTTCAAAAAAACATTTGACCTGTTCCTTTTCTCTTCTTTTTTTTTTTGGTTTCCTATGTCTAATATTAGTAGTACTAAAATCGATTCGGCAATCTGGTAAATGAAATAATAACGAGGGAACCAAAGTCTTATGTATATTATGTAATAATAATAATAATAATCATTCATAATAAAAGATGTTTTCATTTTGGTTGTTTTCGTCATTGTTGTTTCACTGTACTGAACTATGTTATTTTTCCGGACATCAAGCGACCGTTATATAATAAGAACTTGAATGATCAACGTTATATGACAGTGTTATATGACGGCCATGCCACATCGATAACGATGACGACGACGGTCAATCATAATTTAATCCATAATGTCAGAGGCCATTGCTCTTCGAACTTACATAATGCAATATTTTTCTGTTCCTGTATCCTGTTTATGTGTAGATTTTCAAAGAAAATGTAAGAAAAAATCAACGTTGTCCAAACTAGGGAAGAAAGTTTTAGGTTTTTTTTTCTTTTCCCTCGACCATCTGGTCTGTTACCAGAAGTTAGTTTTTCTTCTTGTTTGGCCAAACTTTTTCTTTTGTCCTGATCATTTTAAGAGTTTTTCATTTTGCCAGGGTTATTGTTAAACAAAATGAAAAAGTCAATGTTATGCTCTTTTCTTTAGTTTTTTCCCTTGTGAAGATGTTCCATTCATTCATTCATTTTTTTTCTTTGATTCATTCATTGATGATCACTGGACCAAGTCTCTTTTTTTCATCATCATCACCATGATGATAAATTCAGAAAAAAAGTTATAACGACAAATTTCAATATAATGGACAAGTAGTAGTAGTTTTGATGGTGGTGGTGAAGAAAATGTGTATAAGAAATATAGAGAAAAAATACACGCTTTTTTTTACTTTTCGTGATTCATTCAACCAAAATTTTTGTTGTTGTTGTTGTTGTTGTTATAATTTTGGTTGCGTAACTAAGAACCGCAAAGTATCATCATCATCATGATGATTATTACCATTTGGTTTGTATTTGGGCTATATGGTTGTGTGAATAGTTATTATTATCATCATGGTCGATAAGTATATACAGACTGAAAAGCTTTACAATCCGATTTTTTTGTTGTTGTTGTTGTTATTATTGCTATTTGGATACATTATTTATTGACTTCTCTCTCTCTCTTTCTTTCTCCCTCTTTATCGTATCTATCATACTTAATGTCCAGTACGAGCGCGTGTATCTTTTTTTTTGTTGTTGTTGTACGTGTTCAAGTGTTTGTGTGTGTGTGTGTGTGTGTGGTGGATGAGAATAGTGATGATAGAAAATAGATCGACAATGATGATGGAAACACACATACACACTCGACACTTTATCAATTGATTTTTTTTGTCAATTGTCATACCATCGACAAATTCGATAACAATGATTATGATGATTGTATTTGTGTAATAAAACCGTTTATTATAAAATTTTTTTTTATTATGACAAATGTATTCGATTGAATGGAAAAAAAATATTTGGATTGGTTGTAGTTTTGCAGTTGTTTTTTTTTGCTCTCTCTTTCTCTTTCTGATATTTGATACATTTGAAATTAAAATCATTTATTTCATTTTTTTCTGAAACAAACATACAGTACAAGGGAATTAAATATTTTTTGTTGTGTCTGATTGTCATATTCGAATGACGATTTTTTTTATTCCTCGAAAAAAAATGAAAATTTTTTTACCAAAAAAAATCTTTAGGTTTAGTCAAATATTTGATCATTATGTCTATTTTTTTCCATCATCATCGTCATCAGCAACATTTCATTGCGTTTTTTTATTCCGTAAATAGAATCGTGACAATATGTCATTTTATTCTGAATTTTCCATTATCTTTCTTTCGTTATGATCATAAGGAGAAAGGTACCATTTTGCTAAACTAAATTTATGTTTACTTTTTATTTCTATACTATTTTCACTTACATTTTCCCCACAACGATTCTGTTATGTTTCCTGTTTGTCGATTTAAATTTTTTTTAAATTTTTAAAATTTACTCTATCGATTTTATACCCCCTCCCCTCCCATACAGTGTGTATGAAAGATAAAACCACTGACCATAAATATAAATATAAAACCAACAATGACGACAACAACAGAAAAAACACCGGAACTTATAGCTAGAAATCTTATCTTAGTTTACAAAATGAAATGTGAATGATTTAAATTTTTTTCAAAAAAAAAAAAAAATAAATAAATAAATTCATTCTGAAATGCCTTTTAGGCAATTTTTGATTTTCAACTTTTTCCATTTCTTTTTTTTCTCCTTATTATCCATCGTTGTCTTTTATGGTCCATATTTTTTTGCATCAAAATGATTATTTTTATGCATTGATTATAGCCATATAGAGAAGGATGGTTACCTTCAAAAGTTTTCTCTACTTCAAAAAAATAGTTTGGGTTTAAAAGAAGAAAAAAAATACAAATCAGTAAACTAACTAAGCATCTTTTCTGAGAATTTTATTTATTTCGTTATTTTTCAAAATCGTTTTGTTTTGTTATATTTGAAACTAAACTACTATTATTATTATATGATGACGGTCATAATAATAATACGATTGCTTCTCCTGGATCGTTTTGGTTTGTAATACCGGGTGTACGGGGGGATCAATCAAATAAATGATGATGATGATGATGATCACCAAAATAAACGATGATTTTGTTTTATATATATAGAAATCTAACGGACATTTTTTAGACATGTCTGAAATGACATGTTATATATAAAGAATATGGGTATATAAGGTATATGATGGGTGTTTATGGATGATCACATCAATAATCAGGAAAAAAAATGTGTGTGTATGTATAAATTTGATTTGTTAAAAAAAATTTTAGTTTTACTTCCTGTTTCACTTGTGAAAGAAAGAGAGAGAGAGAGAGAGAAAAAAATTTTAAAGAAAATCAATTCAGCCGACCACCACACATTGTATATGTGTGTGTGTGTGTGACAATGATGGATGATGATTTGTTACGTTATATGAATAGTTGATGTTTCTATGTTCCAAATGATGTCTCATCATCATCATCATCATCATCATCAACTATGCATTTACCAATATTCAAAATTAAACTGATCCAGTCCAGTCACTCGAATTTTACAAGCATTATATTCTATGATGATGATCATATCAATTCAATGCAGCAGCAACTCTTAGAAAGTCAAAACTCATTTCTAATAATACATAATACCCAGATATAACTGGCGGCTATGTTTTCCTGGACCATCATCAATACAACAACAACAACAAAGAGAAAATGGAATATTTTGTTCAGTTGTTGTTACACGTAAATTATCTTTGCTATTTTTTTCGCGTGCATATTTCCATATACACCATTTCTTTTAAGCTTCACTCGATAATCGATAACCACTGATGTTTTTTTTCCAACAATTTCCTAAGATGATGAATCGAATTTTTCATTCATTTTTTTTCCTTTTATTTTGTTGAATAAAATGAGAAAAAGAAAAATAAAAAATTTATTGAACATGGTTCATTCGCGTCTGGTCCGATTATTGTTTTTTTTCTCTCTTTTCATTTTGTTTCGTTTAGCATAACAACAACAACAAAACACGCGACATGAAATGATGATATGATGTATTATTTGTTGTTATCACACACGACGGTCGGGTTTTTTTTTGGTTGTTGCTGTTGTTGTTACCATACCCATTGCCCCTGGATGGTGTATAGATGCCAGATCATTAGATGTTTTTTTTTTTTTGCAAAATCTTTGTAATATATGAAAAAAATATGCATCAATTGATATACGTCTCATTGACGATTGGGTTATGCGAATGTTTGATGTATGATGTGTGTGTGTGTGTGTGTGTGCGCGCTCGGGTTGGATGTTTGACCTTTGATCGATATTGACTTGACTTTTAATTGATTTTTGTTGTTGTTATTATTGTTATTGATGGTGATGTCATTGTATATATGAAATATTCAAATTCTGTTGTTCACATGAACTTTTTTGTTTTGTTATTGCTTGTGTCACAAATATCAATTTTTATTTTTTTTTCTGTTTCGTTGTTCCTGGTTGTTGATTTGCCCATGTCACACCAATATGATGGGATTACCAAAAATTTTTTTTTCATATATTCATATTTATTATACATTCATATCGTTATCTAACGAACCAAACATCGTTGGCCGAAATAATATTCGTTATAAGATTGCTAATGATCGAAATGGATGGATTGTGTAAAACTCTTTTGGGAGTTGGCCTCTCTCAGTCCTGTTTCGACAAAATTAGGAATATAGTAGAATGAAATGAAAACAATTTTAACTTTTATTTTTACCAATATTGTAATGATGTCTAGTTGATGATGAGGGTGGTGGAGAATACCGAATCAGATGACTTTTAACATTTTCGGTTAAAATCATTAATCATTACATCGTTTTTTATGATAGATTTGAAACACTATGGCTATATTTGTTTCCTTTTTTTCATTTTTCTTTCTAAAATTTTTGTTTTATTATTATTTTACCTTACAAAATTTTTAATTCAAATTATTAATTTCATTTTTTTTTTTTTTTTGGTTTCCCTCTTTAGAACCGCTTTCGCAAATATGTAGCACCTGTAAAAAGGTGTTCACATCACCTTGGCTATTGATGCAACATGCTCAAAATGATCATGGATTAAAAATATATGAAGAAATTGATGAAATGGATTCATTTAGTACGGCAGCTAGTGCTACCGCTGCTGCTACTATGGATGTTTCAAATGAATTTGTATCGAATCCAAAAATAATGATGAATGGTCATCAATCATCATCAGCATCATCATCATCAACACATTTGTTACCAACAATTAAATCAGGCCTTAATGGAAATATATCAACAACAACACAGCTATGGAATGGTCAAACTACTAATACATCACCGGTTAGCAATATTAATCTTCAATCGATGGCTGCATTGATGACATCGGCCGGTTTCAATTTGACATCAACGCAATTAGAAGCTATACTACGATCAACTAGCCAATCGACTAATATTCCATCATCAACGGCATCATTATTACAGGCAATAACGGCAGCCGTAACAGCCAATCCAATGACAAGCAATAGAGGTGGCAATAGTCAGAATAACCATCAGAACAATGGAAATCGTACTCAAATGTCCACTACTAGTCATCAAACAGATCTATTAGGTCATCTAGCAACATCTCATCCTTCATCTCATCCGAATCCATTATTAAATGATCTGTTTTCGATTGGTGGGCCAAATGCCGGTTTAGAAACAACAACACAAGTTACGATGCCACCAACGACGAATCATCATAAACGTGGTGAAGGAAACAATAATAACATTAATAATAAACAACCGCAGCAGACAAATACTATGAATCCAGTTGCAGCTGCAGCATTAAATTCGACTCTAGCCAATTTTACAAGTCATTTTTTGGATGCATCAAATGCAACGGCAGCATTTGATTTATATTCAAGACAAATGCGACAATTGGCCAATACGATGGCACCATCATTGTCATTACCACCAACGACGGCCATTTCAACACCGAATTCTACTAGTCTGATGAATACTGCTTCTGTTGTATCATCATCACCATCAACAATAACAACATCGTCGTTGCCATCAAACAACAACAATTTAACGAATACTACCTCTTCATCGTCTTTGACAACTAATCGTAAACATCACTATCAACAATCAACGATAAATAATAACAACAATTCTCCGGTAGTACTTAGTCCATTGGCACTGCCATTGAACAACAACAACATTACGGATACAAATAGGCAACTATCATCACCATTGATGAACATTAATAATCAACATTCTCGGCCAAATTCAACATCATCATCTATCGATATGCATCCTACAAGTCGTTTAACATCACCTGATAATATACCATTGTCTAATGGTAGAATTTTCAAAGAAGAAGATGGAAATAACACAGTTTTCACCAAACGATCACCAATAACTGATGACAGTAAGGTAAGTCAAATAAGTTGTCTTTGCCATATTCTCATATATATGAATGATAAATGTAAATGTAAACAAAAAAAATTTCAAATTAAATATATTTTATTATCTCTGTCACAATTTAGATTCAACACAAAGAATCAACCGCTTTGAATGCCCGTAGACCATTAAAATGTGAATTCTGTGGTTTAGGATTCAAAAAAGTGATGAAACTAAGAAGACATTTGAAACGTGTTCATAAGGCTAAAAAACAAAATGGCTTTGCTAATCAATTACAACAAAACAACAATGATAATACGGATAATTCAATCAACGATGAAATTTCATTAAATCAGGATGATTCATCGACAGTAATAGATGATGAAAAACCTGCGATAATTACTAATGGATCAGATTCTTTGACAATGGAATCACTACAAAATAATGATGATAATTCACAATCTAACCATGGTACAACGAATAATAATAATGAATCAGTCTCAGTGGAAGAAATCGATGGTGAAGATGATGATGATGATGATGATGATAATGAAGAGATGGAAATTGGTGTCGATGAAGTGGATGATGAAGAGGAAGAAGGCCATGAAGAAATTGATGATGAAGATGAAGAGAATGAAATCGATGATAATGATGATCATATGGCAAAAGATGTCAAACGGAGTAAATCCATAAATGGAGATTTAATGGCCGAAGATCTTTCATCACGATCATCGGCCAAATTAAGCGATTCGGGTAAAAATGGACCGATCAAAACTAGTGCAATAGATGGAGCCGGACTCCATCATTCAACATTATCACCACCATTCTCTCCTCGTTCCGGTAGTGATATACGACCGTTATCGATGCCAAAATCGGCAAATAATCACATACCACTAGCCAAAGGGACAAGTGCAATGAATATGAACATGCAAAATATATTGGGTGAAATGATGGAAAAGATGGGATTTCCGAATCCCCAATACAATGATGCTTATAAACAAATCATGGAGGAAAGTAGTAAAGTTTTCAATAATTATTTCAGCAATGCTTCAAAAACTGAAAGAGCCAATATGGAAAATCTATTTGCCAACAACGGTATCATGGTACTGAATAATCTATTAAATAACAAACAGCAATCACCGCAAGGATCAACACCAACATCTACACGATCATCAAATAACAACAATAATACTAATGCCAATACCGGATCTTCGATCCCACCGAACAACAATAATAACAGCAGCTTACTTGGAGCCAATTTCAATGATTTAATGAGCGGTTTACAAAATCCTAATGCCGCTAATCTGAATCTGTTAGCTGGCAATTTCCTAAACAGTGCCTTTGATCCGACAACGTTTGATTCGAAAAAATTTAAGCTTGATTTCATTAATCATGACCAACAAACAACAGCAATGGCCGCGATGGCTAACAATCCACTTTATTCAAATTTATGGCCCCCATCAATGGGTCCTAATCCATTTACGAATTTCACTACATCAGCTACTACTGGTATGAATCCTGATGCTGCTGTCGAATTTCTTCGATCAACTTCAAATAAATTATCAATGACAGATGCTACCAGTGCCTTTGGTAAGAGTGCTGGTGCTACAAGTTTACCACCGCCATTAACAACGGCACAGAATCATCATAGTAATGGTGGTGGTGATAGTACAACAAATAGTAATGGAATACATCGAACAAACGGTACAACACTGCGAAATAGTTTACTGTCCAACAATAGTTCTCCATTGGCTAGAATCGGTAATCATCATCAATCAGGACATCGAAGCATAAGTGGCCATCATGGTCTTCGATCCAGTGCTGTCAATTCTGCGACAACAACAACAGATGGTCGACGAAAAGAACATCGATATCGCAATGATACTTGTGAATATTGTGGAAAGGTATTCAAAAATTGTTCAAATCTAACCGTACATCGACGATCACATACCGGCGAGAAGCCATATAAATGTGAACTTTGTTCCTATGCTTGTGCACAAAGTTCCAAATTAACTCGTCACATGAAAACGCACGGCCGACATGGTAAAGATGTTTATAAATGTCGATTTTGTGATATGCCATTCTCTGTTCCGAGTACCTTGGAAAAACATATGAGAAAATGTGTTGTGAATCAGAATAATCGTAATGCTGCTGCTGCAGCCGCCGCCGCTGCAGCTGCAGGTCTTTCTGGACATCATGGAGCATCACCATTAGCTAATGCTGAATTAGCATTATTATTGCAACAACAACATCAACAATTACAATCACATCATCAAACATCTCATGGCGGCAATGGTGCTAGTGTCAATGTACTTTCCAGCGCAAGTTCGGCCACCAGTAATGATAAAGATTCGGATCTATAGAGTTTGAAAATATCGATTTAACAGTCAATGTCATATCAATATCATTTACTAGATATGACGAGCTTCTTTGCAACTTCGATACCCGGTCAATCCCATCATTATTATCATAATCATCATCGTCATCATTATTATTATCAATGATCACACCTTAATCATCATCATCATCATCATTATTTCTATTCGATAAAAACATCATTCAATATTGGTGATATAAGTTATAATATGTACCGAATATATATCGTCAAATTTTCTTTTGCCCCTTTTCCATTTTTCTATAGCACGATGCTATATAATTGATGGATCTTAATTGAAAAACAAAACAAAACAAAAAAAAATGGAAACAAAAACCAATGTAGGAAAATTCATTTGTTTTAATGAGATATCCACGTCAGTTATTCTCTTCTATTCATCAAACAGTCAAAATGATATCCACACAGATTCAAACACATTTATATAATGGAATTATTTTCACCTGATTATTGATCATCATCAACAACAGAACCTGATTTGTGTGTTCATCAAACATTTTTTTTGATATACTATAACCGAAAAAAACAAACAAAAATTTAAAATCGTTATTGGCGATGATACTTTCTTTCAAAAATACGATTCTTTTTTCTAATCAACAAACAAACATCATCATCATCATAATTATTCAATGTTTCAATTGGTTTTCATTTTGTTATATTTGTTTTTGCTATTTTTTTCTGTTTTTTTTCTTTATTTTAAAACTTTTTTCCTGCCTATGAAATTCTTAAACCCTCCAAATACACAAACACACCGATTAGCGCAATAGATTTCATCGTATTAATCATCGCATTTTGATAATTATTAAGAATGATATATTTGTCCATGATTTTTATGATAAAAATTATACATTATACACCATCACAAACACATACACGAATTTTGTTTTTTTTTCTGAAATTTGATAAATTTGTTAAAAGTCCTGATGCTTTCTTTTTTTCTCTTTCCATTTTCTTTTTTTTATTATTATTATCATTATTAGAAATTATATAAATTGAAAAACAAAGAAAAAAAAGAATTATCAATATGTGAATTTTCAATTTTTTCCCCACCCCTCACAACAACAGAATACAAAAATCCCAAACGATTTATTTGCATCATCATCACATTTTCATTTTGAATTCGGTAATATCAATCAATTGAACACCATCATGAAAAACACATACAAGTATTAGTGACCGTTGTTCATTCTTTTTATTTTTTTTTCACTACTTTAAAAACATATTTACTTTCTCTTTTTATATATGATATATATTGATGATGAACTGAAAAAACCACCTGTATACTGTATGCTGCCAACGAATTATTTCACCATATATATATACATTTTATGTATCATACCACAACAATAACAAAAATTATAATAAAACAAAAAACAAAAATTATTGATTTGCCGAATTTCAATAATGATAATGATGATTTGGATTGAAAACAACAACATTCGGGATTTTTTTTTGAAAAACAAATTTAAAAAAAAACACTATCACCATTAACGATTCTAATTTCTTCTTCCATGCTTCTTCTATACAAATACACATGAAAATGTTCTTCTTGATTATGTAATCATTTGAATAAATAATTTGATATATTGTTCACCCTGTTTCTCCTTCAATATCCTTTTTTTTCTTCTTCTTCTTCTTCTTGATATTTTGAACAACAAAATAATTGTCCATTTAAATTTATCCGCAAAAAAAAAAAAATCATCATTCATCATCATCATCATCATTCATTATCCATACAATTCTTGTATTTTAAACAATAAAAATAATGATAATAATAATAAAAAAAAATTCAAAGTTATCCACTTTCCCATTGTTGTTTTAATATTTTTGTATGATGATTGTGAATGTATTGTCCACACATTGTCAATTGGATTGCTCATTGAAAAGCATTTGGATTGAATCACACGGTACCGTATAATTTTCTGTCCGATTCTTTCAAAAAAAAAAAGTTTTTGTTTATCAATTTTTTTTTTTTTTTTTTTTGGATTCCTATCTAGCCATCGTAACGGAAAAATTTTATTAACACACAAGTAAATAGTATTGGGGAGAAAAGTAAAAATATATACATCTAATTGGCCGGAAAAAGTGGGCCGATTTTTTTTTTTTGGTTGGAAAGTATGACATGTGTTGTTGTTGTTGTTGTTTTGGATCATTGTAGCCATTCATTCATCCATATAAAACATGGTTCCAGTATACTGTCCATATCAGGTTTATCATATGGCCATCATACCTTGTTGTATTCATTGCTTGTCATTTTGACACCTATTCTACACGAACACCATGAATTCAATTGAATTCTGATTTGAATAAATATAATTATTATTTTTATTTTTGATTCCATAGTTTATGAAAGTTTTTTTTTCGGTAACCGGGGGTATGGAAATAAAATTTCCATTGTTATTCTCGTTCAATATACTGACACGATTGAATGACCATTTCGGTTCAAATTTTTTTTGGATTTTTTTTTATCATCATCATCATCATCATCATCGGTTGTCATTTCATCCATCATGGATAGATTATTGTGGCGTTATACTACGAACATTGATGACATATTTTTATCATCATTCATTATCCATTTTTCGATCGGTTGCCGGGAGGTTAATTGTTATTATTATTATTAATGTCAACTATTATGGCTTGTTCGTGTATCTGCACACAAACACACACACACACACTAAATATTCCAAGGATCCTGTATGTTTGTTTATATTGGATATTAAAGTGTCGATCGTATTTAGTTTGTTCGTTTGGGTTTTTGTTTTCTATTTTTTCCTACCTGTCAAATACACAAATTGTTGTTAGTCTAAATGTTTTTTTTTATTCGATTAATGTAAAGTTTCTAGTTATTATCATCATCGTCATTATTTTATTCTATTCGTCCAGAAGCAGCTAATTAACTTGCCCTTTTTTCCAATGATTAAAAATTTTGTTTATTACCTATGTCATGTGAATAATGATGGTGGTGGTGGTGGTAAATGAACGAAAAAAAGGAAAGAAAAAAAAACAAAAGAGAAACCAGACTAACAACAAACCTGTCACAGGTCATATCCATGTGAACATATATACAATATACTAATATTACATTCTAAGGCGTCCCATGTCCTCTCTTTTTCTTTATCAATCGTTCATCCAGGTCATTGTTTTTTTTCAAAATTTAGTTTTTCTCTTAATGTATACATATATAGTGGAACAAAAATGAAATAAAAGGATGGCCAACAACAACAACTGGTCATTTTTTTCATATATATTGTATCTGTTGTATAAATGTGTATAGTTTATTGGTCGGTCATTGAGGGCGTGATTTGTTCCGATAAATGGGCAGTTTTTTTTCGCCATTGCCATTGGATACAAGTACTCAGACACATACACACAAACAAACAAACAGAAAATTGGCTGACCTCAATGCAGCGCCCAAACTCAAACACACACACACACACACACACATACTATGAAAAGTTGTAGAGTTGGTTAGAAAATAATATCAAAGATAGATAGAGTAGCCTGAACTATTGGAAAAAGAAGAAAAATAAAAAAAAAATTGGCATTCAGTTCCAATATGCATTTGTATGAATCGTGTGTGTGTGAATGATAAAGTGAGAGAAGAAAAAAAAGGAAATGGAAATACGGAAAGGACAGTCGCAGATATAGATAGTTTTTTTTGTTGAATTGAGTTGAATTGTGAATTGAATGGTTGAACAAAAAGATTGAGAATATTTGAGATCCAATGAACAAAGTATCACCGAATGGCGTCCGAATAAACGAAATTGAGCCAAAAATGCTTATGTATGTGTGTGTGTGTGTGTGCCTATGATCGAACGGACAGTCTCTTTTTCTTCTATTCATATATTTTTTTTATTTAGAGAAGAGTAAGTATTTTGGTCCAGTTATATAGATCATCATCATGGACAGTTTTTCTTTTTCATGGGTTGTTCGGTTGTTCCAAAATAAAGATATATATGTGTGCAAGCCTGTTTTTTTTTCTCTCTTGTTGTTGGTGTATTGGTGTTGGTGTTTGGTCTTCAATCGATGCTTCGATTTGATTCAGAAAAAAACGATCTCTATATAGCCTGGACGAAAATAAAAATGTGTGTGAACAAACAACCAATGGCACATTTATAGATAGACAACAGGAAAAAAAAGAAATATATTATGACACAACGTCAAATTGTTCAAAATGAAAGTTTCATTGTGACAGGAGAGCGACCGAAATGATCGACCAACCAAAGTAATCATACAAGAATTGAAATTAAAGGGAGAAAAACATTGACGAAGAAAATTGACCGAAACAAATCATTAGGTTGTTTGGGAGATGATATTCAGGTCGGCTACCATAATAATCATCATCATTATTTGTTGAACACACACACACACACACATACAAAATCTAAAGATAGAAAATGGACGTGAAAAAAAAATAAAATGGGCACCATCATCGAGAACAAAGAGAAAAAAAGTTGGCAACCATTCTACACACACATGGTAACGACGTCCGCCATCGACCACACCATCAAATGGGAAAAAAAATAACTGAAAACACACACACATTGTTCTTGGCTCATTGTACACAGAGACAGACACATGAATATTGCATTTTGGCACATCATTCTAACGGTTGATTCGTTGGATGGTCGGTTTTTTTTGTATCTTAAACTCTGTCTACTATACATCATGTTTGTCTATTTGTAGAGATGAATTTGTTTGTCGTTTTTTTTCGTGTGTATAATACCAGTTCCGACATGATGATGATGATGATGATGATGATGATGATGATGATGATTAGTGTCAGTATTAAGCTAAGATGAATATTTACGGAGGTTCCGAATAGCCGAAAGTGATGTGTATGTACAAAGAATAAGTAAAGAAAACAGAATAAAACAAAAAAAAAATGTCTAAACAAAAAAAAATAATAAGAAGATGCATGCAAGTGATGTATAATATAGAATAAGAATGTTATTTATTGATCTTTTTTTCCAGTGAATAACAACAATGAAAGTGAAATAAATGTAGATTCTATTCGGTTTCAGTTATATATTATTAGTATAGATGTATTTTGTGATGTGTGTATATGGGAGTATGATGTGAAATGAATGACTGGAGAAAAAAAAAGATGCAATTAGGATATTTGCCAAAATAATATAGAAACATGAGGAACATGTATAATATAATAATAATAACAGTATTTATTGGGCCAACAAAACAACAACGTAACCATGGCATTGTTATTTTTGTTGTTGTTAACAATTTTAATCAACAAACTAAATTTGTCTCAAATTCTGCACTTTGTAGATGTTATTTGTATGATCAATTATATTACCTGAATGGTGATCATATTCTTTGGGGATTGGGTGAAAAAAAAATTTCCATTTTTCAATGTTTAAACCATTTAAAAATTGTTTTGATTTGGTTCGAAATCAGAAATTCTAATATTGCATTATTGTTTTCTCCTGTCCATTATGCTGTTCTTTTGTAATATAATTAACAGAATTGATAAAGAGCCAAAAAAAAAAATGTTAAACATACCAAAAAACCCGTAAATGGCAAACCCGTCAATATAACATCACATCGCTTAACACACACATTTTGGGCATTCAGCCAGACGAAATAGACGTCCACGACAACAGCATTTCGTCTGTATTCCGGTTATTCACTATATTCAATTCTGTCTGTCCAAACAGAAAAAAAGACAAAACCGACCGACCGACCGACCGACCGACCAACCAACCGAATATCTTTCAATTTTTTCATCAAAACATCATGTCTTCGTTCTTTTTTCTTTCTTTCAATTCTTTCCTATGAACATAGAATATTCTAAAATTAGTATATTCATACTCTTCAACGTTGATGATTAACAAACTCAACTATAGAATGAATGAATGAATGAACGATCGCATAA